ACAGGGGTGGGGGTGGGGGTGGGGAAGGGAGGAGCTTGAGGCTTGAGGAAAAAGATCTTGAAGTTTGAAGAAGAGTTTGAGGCTTGAGGACCTAAAGTCCAACATCACTCCAGTCACCGTCGATAATTGTAGATCATTGTCGACCGGTGTTGACCACTGTCGACTGTCACCGACCACCACCAGCTGCCTCCACCAATCACCATCGGCCGCCACCCACTTCTTACAATAAGTTGCTCATGCACTGACGTTGTAACTCTAAAAAATGTTTAACCCTTTATCGCCTGTGGGATGATGGACTGTATATATAATATATAGTTTATTGTGGATTTCTTCAGTTCGATTAGACCTTTTTTTTTTCATTATGTGTTCCACATAAAAATTTTTGGTGACACTACTGATTATTATCTTTTATCTGAGTGTGCGTTAAATTCTCGTGCAACATTAATACAATAATATATTACTCCACCAACTCAAATGTTCTAGCACACATCAGAAGTTTTATTATTAAATGTGTAAATACATAAGAATTGAATGTTATCTTCGTAAATCACTCGAATGCCGTACGTGCATACATTGTTAATATCGAGTCTGTGTGTACAAACATAATAGCTCATGCGAAAGCTTCGAATTGCCTTGAAATTCTCCGCTTTCCCATGGCCAGGGCTGCGGTAAATGCTACCTTCTTCTACTCTTCACCCGGAAAAATTATTCGCGGCTTGCGTGCGGTGGCCGATCCGGCAGATATATTTCGGTGGGTCCCACCGAATTTTTTTCTTTTTTTTTTAAATGAAAATAATCCTGTATCGGACACCCCATGCAGAACCGCAGCAGACAATAATTCCTCCTTCACCCGCCCCGAGTTTTCTTTTGGCCGGCGATCTTTAGTGAGCACGCTCCGGGAACAGCCTTCGGTTCATCTCCGTGCTGCGGTCATCAGCAATGTGGGTAGCGTGATTAATTCTTCGTTCTTTGCTGTGCTTTATCTTTTGCTGCATCTCTATAGGCCAGCTAGTGTTGTTTCTTGGCATGTTTCTTCTATCGATCCTTTAATTGCATTCTCATACAATTTTTGCAAAGACGGCTGCGGTATTGGTTGATTATGGTTTGATTTATTTCATGAGGTGCCGGCATTTGGGTGTTTAGGTTGTTTACGGTTGTCAATGTGTGGTTGCAGGGAGAGTTATCGGGTCGCTGTGTTTGAGGCGGGAGAGGATGGGGAATGGAATTAATGGATGAAGTGCTGTTGGGGTTTTGGGATTCGACAAACGTTTTATTAGTTGGTGTTTGATTTTTTAAGTGGCATTCTTGGTTGGTAGGTGCTGTGTGTTAGGAAAATTGATTCAGTGATTTTTGGGAGAAACGGAGATTTAAAATATGAGTTTTATTTGTATTTTAAGAAATTGTTACTGATTTTTGAAAGATCTATTTAAGAGACGATGAACTTTTTTTAATCGCTTTTACGAACTAATTTTTTTAAAGTTCGATCTATCATCATCAACGCACCTGCGACGTCACCTCCTATGAAGTCGTGCCTGTAAATTGTTGAATCTGACTTCGTCTGCAGTGTTCGCTGAATCTCTGCTTGCCGCCATTGTTGGTCCACTACCACTTGGTTTAGTTGACTCAGGAGCAGGATTGATTTGAACAATTTTTCTTCGTGTGAGTTTTTGATCTCCACCCCATGTTACATAAACCACAAAAATAAACGTCAAAAAAGAATCTCATTAGCCCTCCAAAATTATATAAATAAATTGAATGATAACTGAACTAGCCATCCATAAAGCTCTTTATAGGGTTGAAATTATATTGATTCATTGGCAGGATTTTCTTTATAATTTTGGGCTCTCTAGAAATTCTCTTACCGTGTTGATGATGATGTGTTGCCATTTGCTATCAATTAACAAAATATTTCTTGCTTTCACTTACGTCAAATGGCTGTATATTGATTATTGAAACTCATTGAGGATAATAATGCCAAACATTGTGACAGCTCTTACAATCTCATGAATGCTCGCTCTTCTTTCCCTGACAATGATTTATGAAATTGTAGCATTTTGAAGTAAGAAGGATAGTTTCTCACATTATAAATGAGATCTCAGATTTTTTCTTCATGTAGAGAATCAATCATGAAATCATTCCTGTAGGAATATTGTTTTTACTTTCCCCAACGCCAGTTTGATGTTATGTAATTTTTCTATTTGTATAGTTCTTGTAGTTTTTTTATCACACATTGGATATCGAAAGTATCTGTTATGGTATGACTCATATACCATATAGGGACAGACGCTGGATCGAAGCGGAGCGGGAAAATCTGTCCAAATCGGGAGTTATGTGGGTTGGGGGTGCGGGGACAAAGCCTCGCGGTACGGTACATGGGTGATGCTGTAATTACGTATTGTACTTAGGATTTCTTCCTGAGGTTATAAATAGGTCTTTAGAAACCCAGGAGGTATCCCTAATTTCTGTAACCTCTCTTCTGAATATTGAAAGGAACTCGCAGCTCTGCTCCCGAGGACGTAGGCATCTTTTCCGAACCTCGTTAAATATCTTTGTGTTCTTCTGGATTTGTGTCATTCTTGTTTTTCTTCGCCCTAATTTCTCAACAAGTGGTATCAGAGCGAGGTTCCAAGGTGCAAAAGAAATTTTTTGGCGGTGAAGATTTTGGCCGAGGATTTTTAGGCTAGGGCAGAAGAGCAATCTCGGCGCAAGGATCTTGACGGTTCGGCGTAAGAAGAGCAAGCCTCGGGGAGGCGAATCGTGGCGGCAGGAGTAGTTCGCGAAGGGGCAAGTTTGGCAATTTACACAGAGGAGATTCTACGAAGGCTTCGGTGTTCACGGTGTTCGGCGCATAAGTTGCGGATCGCGAGGCTTGAGGCAGAAGTTCGGGCGATTTGCAGGAGTATCACGACCCGGGATTAGCGGAAGGTGGCTGGTGTTCGGCAGTTTGCGGAGGCTGCGATCTGTTCCCGAGGAACGCTGTTCGCAGAGGAAGCTTCGGCGGGCGAACAAGGAAGTTCCCGGAGGTTTCGGTGCTGCACGCGGACAAGAATCGGGAAGGAAGGGAATCAAGGAGAATATCCTTTGCCTTTGCTTCCTGGAAGGAAAGTTTTTGAATTCTACTTAATTAAAGTAAAATTTATTTTTAATTAAGTTGATTTAAAGAAAATATTTAATTATGAAGACTTAATTAAAATTTTCTTTGCTGGAGGTTGCGGAGAAGGATTTATTCCTTTGCAGGAAGAAGGAAAGTTTTTTTGACATTCGTCAATTAAAGTAAATATTTTAATTAAGAGGGTCTTGATTAAGGAAGCTTAATTAAGTACATATTTTAATTTTTTAGCAAAGATTTGCAGAGGAATTTTTTGCAGTTTCAGATGATAATTTCTGGTGTGAAATTCGAAATGGTGAAGTTTGATGGAACTGGTAACTTCGGATTGTGGCAAACAAGGGTGCAAGATCTTTTGACGTAACAGAGAATTTTGACAGCTTTGCGGACAACAAAATCAAATGTCATGGAGGATGAATATTGGAAAGAATTGCAACAACGAGCTGCAATAACTATACGCCTATGTCTGACAGATGAAATTATGTATCACGTGATGAATCTAAAATCTCAATGAGAGGTATGGAAGAAATTAGAAAACCAGTTTATGAACAAATCTCTGACGAACAAGTTGTATCTGAAGCAAAAATTGTATGAGCTGAAGATGCAAGAAAGTTCTGATCTGGAGCAACACATGAATGTCTTCAATAAGATAATCACAGACCTATCACCGCTTGATGTGAATATTGAGGATGAAAATCGAGCGATGATTTTGCTGTGTTCATTGCCTTCTTCCTATTAACACCTGGTGACTACCTGACATATGAGAAAGAGACTATCAAAGTTAATGAGATTACTGCAGCATTGTTGGTTCACAACCAGCATAAACAGAATGCAGGGGAAAACTCTCACAGTGACAATTTATATGTTAAGGGTAAGCAGTGTCGTGGAAGGAAGAAAGAGAAGAAGGGTTCTGAAAGGCGAAATTCCAGATCGAAATCCAAAGGCAAAAAAGAAATTCATTGCTACAAGTGCAAGGAGTCGGGTCATATGAAGAGAGATTGTCCAAAACTCAAGAAGCAGACTGGAGAGAAAAGTGATGTATCATTGAAATCTGTAAATATGGTGCAGAATGATAATTCAGATTGCAGTGATGACGATATTCTTTCAGTTTCATCAACCCAGATCACGGATGCATGAATTCTTGATTTAGGATGTTTTTGTCACATAATACATAACAGAGGGTGGTTTGCTTCATACATGTTAACTAATTCTTGCTCAGTTTATTTGGGAGATGATAAATGCTGCAATATTGCTGGTATTGGTGAAGTCAGAATTAAGATGTATGATTACACAATTAGAACGTTATGTGATGTCAGACATATTCCAGATCTGAAGAAGAACTTGATTTCCTTAGGCACTTTACATAGAAATAGTTTCATTCCTAAGACAGATGAGGATAGATAAACCATCAGAATTGTTAAGGGTGCGCTGACGGTAATGAAATGAAAGTTAATTGCAGACAATATCTAAAAACTGTTGGGGAGTACAGTTGTAGGAGTAGTTCATTCTGTGAAGTCAGATGATGGTAGTACAAAGCTATGACATATGCGTCTGGGTCATCTCATTGAACGTGGGATGACAGAATTGCATAGAAGAAATCTGTTGCATGGTGTTAAAAACTGTAAACTAGATATTTGTAAGTTCTGTATTTTTGAAAACAAACTAAAGTCAGTTTTATGACTGAAAAAACACAAAATTGAAGGGATTATTGATTATGTGCATTCTGATATATGGGGCCCTACTAGGGAGTTGTCATTGGGAGGATCTCAGAATTTCATTACCTTTATTGATGATTTCTCCAAGAAAAATTGGGTGTATTTCTTGAAGCAGAAATTTGAAGTTTTCTTTAAATTCAAGCTGTGGAAAGTTGAGGCGGAGAATCAAATTGGCAGAAAGATCAAGTATCTGAGGTCTGATAATGACACATAGTACACAGATTCGCAGTTTCAGAAGTTCTGTGAGGAGCATGAGATTCAGAGATATTTTTCAGTGCGCAAGACATCACACAGTGCGCAAGATATTTTTCAGTGCGCAAGACATCACAACAGATTAGTGTGACAACAAGTATGAACAAGTCCTTAACTGAAAGGGCATGGTGCTTGAGATTGAATGCAGAGCTTCCTAAGAGTTTATTGGCAGAGACTGTGAATATGACATGCTATCTCATCAATAGATCACCTTGAGCATCATTGGGTGGCAATGGCGCAGAAGAGGTAGGTATAGATAATCCAGTTAAATTTGATCATTTATGGATTTTTGGTTGTCCTGCTTATGTGCATGTACCTGGAGATGAAATATTAAAACTTGATGCATCAACTAAGAAGTGCATCTTTCTGGGCTACAAGAAAGGTGTGAAATGATACAAGTTTTGAGATCCAATTGCAAAGAAAATGGTGATCAGCAGAGATGCAGTTTTAAGAAAATGGTGATCAGCAGAGAAAATGGTGATCAGCAGAGATGCAGTTTTTGATGAGCACTTTATGTTACAGAAAATCAAGACAAGGTGTCAGAGAAGAGTTTCGGTTCAGATGCAGTGCAGATGGATTTAGAACAACACCCAATAGCTTCTAAGAGAGGTGAAAGTTCAAATCCAACACCTGGTGATTCTATTCCAGATGATCTGCAGAATTGCAGAATTATAATTTAGCCAGAGATAGACAGAGACACACCAATGTAAGGTCTCATAGCAGATTGTGCTATGAAGAATTAGTCTCGTATGCACTTCTCATCAATAATGGTGATCCAACCACCTTTCAAGGAGCTATCACTAGCCAGAAGAAAGAGAAATGGATGGGTGCAATGGTTGAGGAGACAATGGTTGAGTGGGTGCAATGG